AATAGCTCTTGTTCCAAGTGCTTGACGGGAATCTTGTGGTTCACATCAACATTTACCTTCCTGTGAAGAGGAATAAACCAGTGCTAATGATGGACAATGAGACCGAAATGAGCGACGCGGAGAGCCGGCGAAGCACTGACATGGTCTCTTTAAGTCTTGCATAACGGTGGTTGTTTTGTGGTCCCTGAATACAATTTCGTCAAGAAAACACCAATCCATTTGCGGTTGCAGGTATGAGAACGAAGCGGTGGCTGTTACTTTCATGGGCGACACAGGGTATTGTCACCATGTGAAGGCTGAAGCAAGAGTAAGGTGACATGCGTAGCAAGAAGGCGCGTCATTTTGAGAAGCAGGTAGTTGACCAGTCTTTGAGGAGTGCATATATTCGAGAAAATGGCTATCGTGATGGATGCGCAGGCCAAAATACAGGCGCGACGTGGGTCTTTCGCATTGGAGAGATGAATGTCTCCTCGTCCTGAAGGGGAGGGCTAAGAAAGGTTTGATATGCTGCAATTCAACGCTGTCTTTATCTTTCCCCTTGGGCCTCTATCTTCGCTTGCGTATTCACGTCCTATTCGTGACGTCGTAATGAGGAAGCGCTTAGGTTTGGCTACCATATTGTAACAGATTCATGTATGACAAAGCTCGCTAGATTCTTTCTCAAACGAGCGAACCAATGACTTCTTCAAAACTCATTGTTGTCGCAAACTATGCTCTTGTTATGGACCTGCTCGTTTTATATCGACAAACGTGTCTTGACGGCAGAAATTCGGGACACACACAGGAGGCGACAGGTCTGGCGGGGATATCGTATTGAGAGGCATCTCAGAACGAAGTGAGAAGCGAATAGCGAGAGTTTCTGAGGTCTTTATCGCGCGGTACCATAGAGCTAATATCAGCTTTCTGTGTCGCTTTGCTGCAGCACATGGCGGGTATCGAAGCCAGCTGGAGTTGAGCAGCACTGTTTACTGATATACCTCTAGCAGGCCCTGTCGCAGCTGGGTTGTGATGTTTGAATCATACAGCCAAAATCCAAAATCCAAGCGCTTTACGGAATTCTCTTCAAGCCGTCGTCTCTTATTGCGTGAAGATGGCTGTGACAAGGACCCAGCTTGGAACTGACTCATCAGGTCACTGAAACCTTTGTGTTGTTTTTTGCTCGTGAGATCAGTGGCTCAAGAATGAAGCATCATGAAATAAATAACCAGAAGCTGCTAGTAAGCAATCAGAAGAGGAAGACGGGACAATCGGCGGAGGCCACGGACGACAATTCTATCTGGAAAGACGGCATCGAAAGTCATCTTCACGGTGAGCCCAAGAATGGCGCCCATGGCTGTGAGACGCGTTTGATCTCCCGGGCCATCCCTTGCCTCTGCTCTCTGGAAATTTAGTGCGAATACGCAAGGTGTTGTCGCGAAGTAGCGGGCAAGCCTCTTCAAAATGGCAACGTGAACGTCCATTAGTGACAGGGAAAAGCTGATGTTCACTGCATTTGGTGCTTTCTCAGCGTCAGGGATCTTGTGGTCACCCAACATTTGACGAAGTATTAGTTTCAGATCTCCCGTGTATTTATGTGGTGAAGGAAGATAATGGAATAGCCACCCCCCACAGCTGGTAGCAATCAAGTAAACTTACATACCTTCGAATTGCTCCACCTTCGATTGCAGAACCATGACATCTGTCTCGTCTGCATGAATTCGATAGCTGTTGCTTGTATGTGGCCCAAATCCAACTCCCGAAAAATAGCTGACGAAGCTGATTGCCTTTCTAGGCATGCAGCTGAAGCCCTTGGCCAGATTCGTACCCTCCATCTATCCCTGTTCAGCTAGCGTGGGCGGATGACTGCGGCCCGACCCAACCAAGATGTCAAAAGGATTGTTTTGGATGTGATAGATTAATAGAGTTTCAGCTGTACAAGAAGTTGATGATGGTCCAATCGCTGCGTGCGGAATACGTGACGTGAAGTGCGTTCAGCTGGTGATTTGAACGCCATGGCTCTACACCAACAGAAACGTCGCGGCCGACACAAGATCCTCGACTGATATATGTTGGAATCGTGGCTAGCGTGGTTGAACTAACGATTCCCATGTAAAATACTTACCGTCTTTCTCATCGTGTGATCAAGGTGATGCCGAAGATAGCTGAACACATCTTCCGAGAAAATGATTGAGTACCTTATATAAAGCAGACCTTAGTAGGCTTTGTGTACCTTTTGATGAAGATCTTCTCAACACAAAATTCTCAGAGCAAAACGACCATTCGCAGAATAAGCTGATCAACATGAAGCCGGCAGTTATCTTGACCAACCTTATCGCCGTGACGGCTGCGCTTCGCATACCTTCCCGACACTCAACTCAGTCCATCGTGGTGTTGGAAACCGATGACATTGAAGTTGCCTGCTCCATCTTTTGTATTGGGCTTAGTAAGTTCGGCCATTTGAATAAATACCTTATTCTTTCTGACTGGAGTTTCTCAGCCAAGTGCTGTCCAAGCGGATTCTGCGTGGCTCTTTGGGAGTCCTGCTAGGGGCTTGATGCCAGTCGATGACTCGGGTGGGATTTCGATTTGGATGCGGTACCTGAAGTGGAGTAAGCCGTTGGGACGTGAGGGGCCCTGCCAGATTTAAAGCCCGAAGATGGGCGATGGGGCGATTGGATCGAAGACTGGAATATATAAGGGCGCGTTATGTACCGGCTCATGGCTCTGTGCTTCTTCAAATTGACTTGGTTGTAGTCTGAATCTGCTTGTATTCGTGACCCAGTTGCTCCTAGTGACGATTCGCGACCAAGACTCATGATACACATAATATCACTTCAAAGCAGGCCATGAAGACCATTGCGGCCATTGGGGCCTCTTCGGTCTCTCTGCTGTTTTATGTGTATTGCGTACTTATACTCACGAAGAAGTACATGCAGAAATTCACACAATGTTGGATCATTGGCGCTCATATTCGGGCATCCAGTCTGGTTGCTATGGTACCTCTTATACCTGAGAATAAGGCAATGCTAACAGCTTTGCGCATAGCGAAAACCCAAGACTCAGACTGAGCTGGATTGTAGATATAAATTCCCCACGCTGGCGATAGTGTTCTAATCTGTAATAAGCAAAATATCCCATTTGTAAAGAACGTGAATGTGGTTTCCGAATGAATGGGGGAATTTGTGGGCGTGCGAATGCTGTTGAAAAGGTCGGCAAGGCCAGCATCGTGCTACGGTAGAGTTGAGGCCATCAACGGGCTGAACCTCTTTGCGCCTCTAGTTTCTGGCATTCTTATACATATGTCTTGGTCGTTTTGAAGTGAATAGTTCGACGACACTTTCGAATATCTCTGCTTCGGAGCCGGGGGTAGTGATGTTGTGGCTCGGCTGAAACACGGCGTCGGAAAATGATAGACTTATACATATAGAGTCGACGTTAAGTAGATCTCATGAATATGGCCGCCCGCTGATTGCCCGTCTTTGTCTCGGAAAGAATTAAATTGAGGTCGTAAATCATTCAAGAGGGTTTAAATAGCATCAGCCTCCCAACACACGCGTCGTCGCTGCACGTGAGCCCTCGCTCCTGAATATGTCATACCGTTGAATCCACGGCACTAGGCATACAGTTATAAAACGACTTGTGGCATGCATTCGAGTTCAGGAGCTGAACACGGACGAGAATGTTGAGCAGCAACCTGTCCTAATGACATATCGATATGATGACCTGATCTCTCGCTTGGTGTGTTGATTAGATCATCCAAACAACGACATTCATCAACGTTCAGGGCTGGGCGAAGCAAAGATGAGGAACAAAGCTAACCCTGGCTATTGTGTATCTTTGCCGGCGTATTCTGAATGCATACGGGACCAGCAGAAGCGAGGAATGTAGCAGTCGTTCCACTCCACCGCATAGAACCCTTCGCGTAGCATGCCGATACCCCTGGCGGTAGAGATATGGTGGTGGTTTGTCTGGCCAACTCATTGCAGTTTAGTTGCGTGACTTTTCCTTCTTTGCCACATCATCAAAGGAAACCACGGTCACTTTTTAGAGCGGGTGGTGTGTCCCATACAAATCGCCTCTACTTCTCCTTTAGGTGTGATGTTACAGACAGTGATGCGTCTCGTTAAAATGATCATTGATTCCAGCATGGGCGAAGACAGCAATGTGCAATTTTACTTGCGGAAACGTTTTCAGTTTGACCTATCAATCCTTATGAAAGCAGTCTCTGTTCGTTCTCAAGTGTTCCTTGTGACACAATAGACAATGGCAGTGATATGAGACAGTCCACAGTGAGGGGATGTTTGGTACAGGATAAGTTTATATCTAAGAGTGATATGAGAGGATTTGTCCAATGGCCAGTTCAGAATTGGACCGGACGACAAGGTTATTAACGAGCTATTCTAGAGAAAATTCAATCAAGTTTATATAGCTAAATTTAAGGATCACCAAACTCAACTCTCTGTTCTTGATCCAACCTATGTCTACTTTGATAACACAAAGAAGGCAGAACGGAATCTCGAAGCGGAGGAAAAGTGATGGGAGAAAGTTGACCTGCTGAAGCGCTACGAGAAGGAATGGGAGAAAACCGCGAGACATCGCGGAGGACATGGTCCGCTACAAAAGCCCTTGAGAGTTCGAGGCCCGCGAAGCTGGATCGTGACGCCCTCAGAACGAGGCCTAGCCACTTGCCAGTCCAGACCCAGCCCCTCATCCAGACCCTGATCAGCTGAGAGAAGCTTCCATCTCCTGCCAAGGAAGACATCAATCCCTGCATCCAAAGCTTGGTTCCAGGCCAGAAGACGAACAATATCCCTCAGTCTAGCCCCTTCGACGCTGGCGGGAAAGCATGATTGTGAGCTGATGTGAGATGTGAGATGTCGGAACCCTCTTCTCGTGTGTCGTGAGTCCAGGCCCTGTCCAAAAGGAGAGATAAGAACCAAGGGCTAGGAACGATAGAATGCCGCAAAAGAAAGACCAAGAAAAGCCCCGAAAGCTTGCATCCTGCTGACCCCCCTCTCTCACTATCCACCAATCTCCTTCTGCTTCTCCCACTCTGCGATTCTGGCCAGAAGCTTCTCCCTTCTTACCATCGCCTCGGGTCGCCAGACGCCCTCCTTCTGCGGATAAAACCCCTCAAAGCGGAGCTTCCCGTCGTCTGGAATCTCAAAGAAGGACTGTTTGCTCCGCACGAAGATGTGCACCAGGTCCGGGCCCGCAGCGAGCGTCGCCGGCGCATCTAGCGTTCCGACGCGCAGGAACTTGAGCAGGGGGCAGTCGTCGTAGTTGCTCCAGACTGCGGTCAGGCAGACGGGGCAGCGCGCGATGTTCTGCGGCGCGCCTGACTCTGCGGGAACAGGGAGGAGGATCGGTGAGGCGGTGGCGGTGGTGTCGTCTGGCAGGCAATCCGAACTGCCGGGACCGTCCTCGAGGGGCCTGGGCCTGGCTTGTCTAGGGGTCCAGGTGTCTAGAAGGGACGGTGGGAAGGTTATGGACTGTTGGAGGGTGGTAGCGGTGCCCGGCAGGAGTGTGACCAGCTCGCCCTCGACGACGGCGTTTACCGCAAAGGCGGTGCCGGTCTCACGTTGGCAGGAGGTGCAGTGGCAGCAGTGGACGACGAGAGGCGCGGCGGTGAGGGCGTAGCGGATGTTGCCGCAGGCGCAGCCGCCCTCGAGGGGGAAGATGGTGTTGTTGTAGGTGGTGCCGTGAGGCGCGGTCTGGACGGGGTCGTGAGACGGTTGAGACATCTTCTCGGCGGCGGTGGTGATCCGTTTGGGAGAGAGACCGGGTTGCGCTTTGCCGTAGTCGATCAATCAGGCAGATCTGGACTCTGACGGATTGTTTCGTCAGGTCTTAGCGCTTCCTTGCTTTGCGTTCTCGATGGTGGTGAGGGAGGATTGGATAAAAAGGCACGACGGCGCAGCCTGGACGGAGGCGTGTAAGTGACATTTCTGCGGGGGGCTGGGGATGG